GTGTGTGTGTGTGTGTGTGTGTGTGTGTGTGTGTGTGTGTGTGTGTGTGTGTGTGTGTGTGTGTGTGTGTGTGTGTGTGCGTGTGTGTGTGTGTGTGTGTGCGTGTGTGTGTGTGTGTGCGTGTGTGTGCGAGCTTACATTTGTGTGAAACACAATTGTACACAGTCACATTACATAGTTTGCTGTGATCACTGATACATAGTTACATTTGCTAAAGAAACCGAAAACGTTGTCGACTTCCGGCATCTCCTGTCCTGCCTGCCTGCCTGCGGGCGGGTGTCTGAGAAAATGAGGGCTTGCTCTCATTTCTCACCGGCAGTATTAGCCATGCATAGAAGCAGTAGCAGTAACCGTGTACGCGCATAACCACACGTACACACGTACATACGCACGTACGCATACACGTACGCACACACGCACGCACGCACGCACGCACGCACGCACGCATAATCTCTTGCGGGAACTTTCACGTGGCCCCTCCTGCTATTGTCAGAGAAGGATCGTGAGAGCATCACTAGTGACATGAGACGTGAGGTAGAGAGGGAGGGGGAGTGAGAGAGCATCACTAGTGACATGAGACGTGAGGTAGAGAGGAGGGGAGGTGAGAGAGCATCACATAGTGACATGAGACGTGAGGGAGAGAGGGAGGGGGAGTGAGAGAGCATCACTAGTGACATGAGACGTGAGGTAGAGAGGGAGGGGGAGTGAGAGAGCATCACTAGTGACATGAGACGTAGGAGAGAGAGGAGGGGGGTGAGAAGCATCACTAGTGACATGAGACGTGAGGTAGAGAGGGAGGGCGTGAGAGAGAGCATCACTAGTGACATGAGACGTGAGGTAGAGAGGGAGGGGGAGTGAGAGAGCATCACTAGTGACATGAGACGTGAGGTAGAGAGGGACTGGGGGAACGTGAGAGAGCATCACTAGTGACATGAGACGTGAGGTTAGAGAGGAGGGGGCGTGAGAGAGCATCATAGTGGACATGAGAGTGAGGTAGAGAGGGAAGGCGGGCGTTGAGAGAGCATCACTAGTGGACATGAGACGTGAGGTAGAAGAGGGAGGGGGGCGTGAGAGAGCATCACTAGTGACATGCAGACGTGAGGAGAGAGGGAGGGGGCGTGAGAGAGCATCACTAGTGACATGAGACGTGAGGGAGAGAGGGAGGGGGAGTGAGAGAGCAGCACTAGTGACATGAGACGTGAGGTAGAGAGGGAGGTGGGCGTGAGAGAGCATACATCAGTGACATGAGACGTGAGGTAGAGAGGGAGGGGGTGAGAGAGATCACTAGTGACATGAGACGTGAGGTAGAGAGGGAGGGAGTGAGAGAGCATCACTAGTTGACATGAGAGAGTGAGGAGAGAGGGAGGGGGCGTGAGAGAGCATCACTAGGACATGAGAGACGTGAGGTGAGAGAGGGAGGGGGCGTGAGAGAGGCATCACTAGTGACATGAGACGTGAGAGAGAGAGGGAGGGGCGTGAGAGAGCATCACTAGTGACATGAGACGTGAAGAAGAGAGGGAGGGGGCAGTGAGAGAGCATCACTAGTGACATGAGACGTGAGTAGAGGAGGGAGGGGCGTGAGAGAGCATCACTTAGTGACATGAGACGTGAGGGAGAGAGGGAGGGGGCGTGAGAGAGGCATCACTAGTGACATGAGCACGTGAGGTAGAGAGGGAGGGGCGTGAGAGAGCATCACTAGTGACATGAGACGTGAGAGAGAGGGAGGGGCGTGAGAGAGCATCACTAGTGACATGAGACGTGAGGGAGAGAGGGAGGGGGCGTGAAGAGCATCAAAGATAGTGACATGAGACGTTGAGGGAGAGAGGGAGGGGGCGTGAGAGAGCATCACTAGTGAATGAGACGTGGAGAGAGAGAGGAGGGGGCGTAGGTGAGAGAGCATCACTAGTGACATGAGACGTGAGGAGAGAGGAGGGGGGCGTGAGAGAGCATCACTAGTGACATGAGACGTGAGGAGAGAGGGAGGAGCTGAGAGAGCATCACTAGTGCATGAGACGTGAGGAGAGAGGGAGGGGGGTGAGAAGAGCTCACTAGTGACATGAGACGTGAGGGAGAGAGGGAGGGGCGTGAGAGAGCATCACTAGTGACATGAGACGTGAGGTGTAGAGAGGGAGGGGCGTGAGAGAGCATCACTAGTGACATGAGACGTGAGATGAGAGAGGGAGGGGCGTGGAGAGAGCATCACTAGTGACATAGAGACGTGAGGGAGAGAGGGAGGGGCGTGAGAGAGCATCACTAGCTGACATGAGACGTGAGGAGAGAGGGAGGGGGCGTGAGAGAGCATCACTAGTGACATGAGACGTGAGAGAGAGAGGGAGGGTGGCGTGAGAGGCATCACTAGTGACATGAGACGTGAGGGAGAGAGGGAGGGGGGTGAGTGAGAGAGCATCACTAGTGACATGAGAACGTGAGGAGAGAGGGAGGGGAGTGAGAGAGCCATCACTAGTGACATGAGACGTGAGGTAGAGAGGGAGGGGCGTGAGAGAGAGCTCACTAGTGACATGAGACGTGAGGTAGAGAGGGAGGGGGAGTGAGAGAGCATCACTAGTGACATGAGACGTGAGGTAGATGAGGGAGGGGTGAGTGAGAGAGCATCCACTAGTGAACATGAGACGTGAGGTAGAGAGGGAGGGGGCGTGAGAGAGCATCACTAGTGACATGAGACGTGAGGGAGAGAGGGAGGGGGCGTGAGAGAGCATCACTAGTGACATGAGACGTGAGGGAGAGAGGGAGGGGGCGTGAGAGAGCATCACTAGTGACATGAGACGTGAGGGAGAGAGGGAGGGGAGTCGGAAGAGCATCACTAGTGACATGAGACGTGAGGTAGAGAGGGAGGGGACGTGAGAGAATCATCTAGTGACATGAGACGTGAGGTGAGAGGGAGGGGGCGTGAGAGAGCATCACTAGTGACATGAGACGTGAGGTAGAGAGGGAGGGGGCGGTGAGAGAGCAGCACTAGTGACATGAGACGTGAGGTAAGAGGAGGGGCGTTGAGAGATGCATCACTAGTGGAATGAGACCGTGAAGGTAGAGAGGTGAGGGGACGTGAGAGAGCATCACTAGTGACATGAGACGTGAGTAGAAGAGGGAGGGGAGTGAGAGAGCATCACTAGTGACATGAGACGTGAGGTAGAGAGGGAGGGGGCGTGAGAGAGGCATCACTAGTGATATGAGACGTGAGGTAGAGAGGGAGGGGCGTGAGAGGAGCATCAGCTAGTGACATGAGACGTGAGGGAGAGAGGAGGGGGCGTGAGAGAGCTTACTAGTGACATTGAGACGTGAGGTAGAGAGGGAGGGGGAGTGAGAGAGCATCACTAGTGACATGAGACGTGAGGGAGAGAGGGAGGGGGAGTGAGAGAGCATCACTAGTGACATGAGACGTGAGGTAGAGAGGGAGGGGCGTGAGAGAGCATCTAGTGACATGAGACGTGAGGTAGAGAGGGAGGGGAGTGAGAGAGCATCACTAGTGACATGAGACGTGAGGTAGAGAGGGAGGGGGCGTGAGAGAGCATCACTAGTGACATGAGACGTGAGGTAGAGAGGGAGGGTGAGTGAGAGAGCATCACTAGTGACATGAGAACGTGAGGTAGGAGAGGGAGGGGGCGTGAGAGAGCATCACTGTGACATGAGACGTGGGGTAGAGAGGGAGGGGGCTGTGAGAGAGCATCACTAGTGACATGAGACGTGAGGGAGAGAGGGAGGGTGAGTGAGAGAGCATCACTAGTGACATGAGACGTGAGGGAGAGAGGGAGGGGGAGTGAGAGAGCATCACTAGTGACATGAGACGTGAGGTAGAGAGGGAGGGGGCGTGAGAGAGCATCACTAGTGACATGAGACGTGAGGGAGAGGGGAGGGGGAGTGAGAGAGCATCACTAGTGACGATGAGACGTGAGGTAGAGAGGGAGGGGAGTGAGAGAGGCATCACTAGTGACATGAGACGTGAGGTAGAGAGGGAGGGGGCGTGAGAGAGCATCACTAGTGACATGAGACGTGAGGAGAGAGGGAGGGGGCGTGGAGAGCATCACTAGTGACATGAGACGTGAGGTAGAGAGGGAGGGGGCGTGAGAGAGCATCACTAGTGGACATGAGACGTGAGGTAGAGAGGGAGGGCGTGGAGAGCATCACTAGTGACATGAGACGTGAGGTAGAGAGGAGGGGGCGTGAGAGAGCATCACTAGTGACATGAGACGTGAGGGAGAGAGGGAGGGGGCGTGAGAGAGCATCACTAGTGACATGAGACGTGAGGTAGAGAGGGAGGGGGCGTGAGGAGCATCACTAGTGACATGAGACGTGAGGTAGAGGGAGGAGGGAGTGAGAGAGCATCACTAGTGACATGAGACGCTGAGGGTAGAGAGGGAGGGGGCGTGAGAGAGCATATATTCCTTCACTCTAACACTGCAGTATGTCACACGCACACACGCACGCACGCACAGCACGGCACGCACGCGACTGCACACGATACACACACATACACATACACACACACACACACACACACACACACACACACACACACACACTGTGTTAATGTGTGAATCACCTTCAGCAACACGTAACTGGGTCGTTTAGAAAAGATAGATCATCTGCCGACTTTTCTTCAGCTGCCGTGTGTATCGTACTTACTGAAATACATGCGTATAGTGCTGCCACCTGAATTCACCTTCTGCAACCCACTTCGATGAAATATGAGCACGCGATAATAATGATTAATTATGATAATTATGATAATTATGACATCAATAGCTAATAATACAAGATATCATTAGCTATTGTATGTTGTCCATATGTTGTTCCATTGTTAGTCGTGCGTGCGTAACCATGGTTACGACGGCTTCATCGCTGAATCTGCTGCTACTAACAAGTGTCTTATCTCTCTCTCCTTCTCTCCTTCGTTCGCAGGGAATGACTCTGTTCTATAGAGAGGCGAACCCGCCAGCAGATGTCCCCGCTAGTGGCGTGTCGTTCCTGCTGCTGCACGGAGC